AAATTAATAAATATCTCAGTCACTCAAGCAAAAATGTCAGACATGTATTGTTTTTGTACCCTAAAGAATTGTGGCATGGTCAGGCAGAAGGTAAAACAGCACGGAAGTAACTGTATAAGTACCTCAGTTGACAAAGTTGTGGCATTTTAGTAGCTCTCACACAAGAAGAAAAGAACAGAAGCATAACAACTTTGCACTCAGTTGAGCAAGAAAATGGGAATGGGCATTATTTCTTGTGACTTGAAGAGAAATACTGGTTTTTGTTTGTTTGTTTGTTTTTTACTTGATTGAAAGATTGAGGTTTGAAAGCACAGATGGCTAAATTTGTTTAAGATTCTGAGTCCACTCAGTTTTTTGCCACTGTTATATATAATGCCCGTTTCCAAATTAAACCAATTCCTGTGAATTCTAGGATAGCACATATCATACTCACTCTTATATCTTAGCTATTTATGCACATCTGAAGTTCTTGGTAAAATTATAAGCTCCTGGGAAACAGGGGCATTTCATCTGCTTATTGTGTGCCCTAGAACACTTAAAGCAATGTTGTGCACAGTTTGGGTTCTCTTTAAATATTTAGCACATCAGTAGACTTTGCAACAAATGGGATATTCACAATGAAGAAATAATACTATAGTCCAGTTTGGAGCTCAAAAACTCCAACGAATGTAGTTGACTTGAGATATATGTATGCATTTTGTGGTGCTTTGTTTATAGAAAAAGTAAAACATGAAACTAAAGAAGAAACTACAAAAATATCTTTGCTACTTTTTCAGAGACTTAACAACAATAACAACTACAGCTACAACAACAACATTTGGCTGAATGCGGTGGCTCATGGTAGTAATCCCAGCACTTTGAGAAGCCAAGGCAGGAGGATCACTTGAGGCCAGGAGTTTGAGACAAGTCTGGGCAACACAGCAAGACCCCCATCTCTACAAACTGTTTTTTAAAAAATTAGCTGGGCATGGTGGTGCATGCTTATAGGATTAGCTACCTGGGAGGCTGAGGGTATTGGATTGCTTTAGCTCAGGTGTTTAAGGTTACAGGGAGCTATGATCATGCCACTTGCATTCCAGCCTGGGTGACAAAGTAAGACTCAGTCTCTAAAATTAAATTAAATTAAAATTAAAAAAAACAAAACACTGTCTATCCCCTGCAAAGTTTTACAATACTGATATAATTATTTAGTTTTAATCAGGTTTGCCAGTTTCTGTCAGGTGCTGCAAAAGCAACATTTAAATAGAATATGGCTAGATGGACTACTTTCATATGTGCAAATGCTGCAGGTTTTCCCAAAATAACCTGTTAGAAATTTCATTGCTATTTTAAGACTTACAGAACACTGCCTAATATATGGATGATCAAATTCTCTTTTTCTAAAGGCAAAATCAATACATTCTGTGATCTAGAAAAGATGATTTGGAAAACTAAGAGCAGAACAGCAACATAGAGGGAGAGGTGCATATGTGTTTGTTCTGCATCTTAATTTTAAAACTATTATTTGGGCCGAAAGCAGTGGCTCAGGCCTGTAATCCCAGCACTTTGGGAGACCAAGGCAGGTGGATCACCTGAGGTCGGGAGTTCAAGACCAGCTTGACCAACATGGAGAAACCCTGTCTCTACTAAAAATATAAAATTAGCTGAGCATAGTGGCACATGCCTGTAATCCCAGCTACTCTGCAGGCTGAGGCAGGAGAATTGCTTCCACCTCGGAGGCAGAGGCTACAGTGAGCAGAGGTTGCGCCATTGCACTCTAGCCTGGGCATCAAGAGCGAAACTCCATCTCAAAATAAAAAAATAAATAAATAAAATAAAATAAAATAAAATAAAATAATAAAACTATTATTTGGAGATAAATCTTATCTTTAATTTCATAATCTACTTTGCATGAAGGCATTTGTATTAAAAGATCCTATATGTATTTAGTTTCTAAAAAATTAAATGCAGTATTTGATACTAATACTTGAAAGATTTCACCTTATATGTTTAAATCTATCATATGAACTTGATCAAATATTTTGTAATCTACATATTGCTATACAAAGGATTAGATATTCTATACAGTCTTGTGTCATTTACAATTTAGTCAATATGCTTTTTTCACAAATCATCAGAAAAATGCAAATAAAAAAACCACAATGAGATACCACCTTAACCCAGCCTCAATGGCCAATATTAAAAAGCTAAAAAAGTAGATATTGGCATAGATATAGTGAAAAGGGAATGCTTATATCCTGTTGGTGGGAATGTAAATTAGTACCACCTGTATGAAAAACAGTATGGAGATTCCTAAAAGAACTAACGGTAAATATAATTCAATACAGCAATCCCACTACTGTGTGGATACTCAAAGAAAAATAAATCTAAATAAAGTAATGAAATACCTTTGTCCTTAATCGTTGTTAAAATCTTCAGTATTGGAAGTGAAGTTATATATGTTCTGGATGTTATCATTTTAGTTATTTTATATTTGAAAGAAACATTTTAAATATTTCTTTTAAATTTTACTAGTGGTAAATTTTTTGTTGTTGTTTGTTTCTGGTTTTTTTTTTTTTTATTTGAGACGGAGTATCGCTCTGTCGTCCAGGCTAGAGTGCAATGGCATGATCTCGGCTCACTGAAAACCCCGGCTCACTGAAAACCCCGGCTCACTGAAAACTCCTCCTCCCGGGTTCACACCATTCTCCTGCCTCCGCCTCCGGAGTAGCTGGGACTATAGGCGCCCGCCACCACGCCTGGCTAATATTTTTGTATTTTTTTTAGTAGAGACGGAGTTTCACCGCGTTAGCCAGGATGGTCGCGATTTCCTGACCTCGTGATCCGCCCGCCTCGGCCTCCCAAAGTGCTGGGATTACAGGCATAAGCCACCACGCCCGGCCGGTAAATTGTTTTAATTAAATCATGTAAATTACTGTAAAGTTTTGTTTTCCTCATATCTCTTAACATTTATATATTTGAGTGTTTATAAAATGTATAAACGTTTATATATTTGAGAGTTTTGAAAATTTATAATTTTTAAAAATGTGATATTAAATTTTTGTATGAGAATATATCTTGTTATCATATACATTCATTCCATAAAATTAGGTATATGTACGTAATCCCCGTTGTTTGAAATTACATAATGCTATCCTTTGCTTGAAGTTGTGATATTCCTAACCTTCTAAATTGTCATATGAAGCATGAATACACACACACACACACACACACACACACACACACACGATCTCAACGGAAAAAAAATATTTTCTATACACATTCCAGTTTATTTTTAGATTTGTTAGTGTGTAAACATTTTCAATTATAGGACAGAAAAGATTCCTCTTCCAAAAAGTGAGGTACATGTTGACATGTATGTCATCATTTGTGAATCATCAATCATCATTCATGATGGAGAAACCATTCTGTATTCTCACATAATTAGGTTTAGATACTGAAATATTTTAGTCCTGTTATAAGATGTGCAAAGATATTTTAAATAGCATTATATTCTCAGAAATAAGATTATGTAGATTTAACACTTCTTAATAATTATCTATTTCTATTTACCCATTAATTTCAATGATTAAATATCTTTCAAGATTCTCAAAATAGAAAACTTGTAACACACGATAAGAAAATGACATATTTTTAAACCAACCCTCCTCTATTTCTGGATACTTGAGGTCACTATTTCTTCTACCTTATAATCCACTCATTCAGAAATATCTTAAATTTCCAAGGGAGACATCCGAGGCTTGTTTGCTTTTGCAAGGTTTCCAAGCAGCTAAGAGTCAAGGAATTCAAAGTAGTACACAGAGCAGGAGAAATTAACTTACAGAGATGGATATAATTTGGGGCATGCACACAGGGGCCTGACTGATTTTAAATGTACAGAATTATCTACTTCACGTTTCATAATGTCTTCTTTATTGTACTACATATGGAAATGCCAATAAAAACTATTAAGCTAAAAAATACTTTATGAAAGTTGTAAAATGTTAGTTTGCATTACATTTCAATAAAAAATTATGGCTAATTCAAAACTCTGTTCATTACCTCTCTCTTTTTCTAGTTCAGTTCCTGCATCACTCCCCAAAAAGTCCTGTGGGCATCTGAAAGATTGGTTCCTATATATACACACACACACACACATATATATATATGTGTGTGTGTATATATGTGTGCGTGTGTGTATATATGTATATACACACATATATATGTGTGTGTATATATATGTGTGTGTGTATATATATGGAGAGATAGAGACATTGAGGCTAAGAGGAAACCACTCCTAAGTTGTGGTATGATTGTTTTCATACTGACAAATAGCACATATTTTATCTATAGTGAAATTCATAAGAATGCAGAAATAAAAGTGTTAACTCTACTAATAAACAGGAAAAACTATTCTGCTAATTTTTTAAATTAGGTGAGAAGTAACAAAATATTTTTGAAAATAAGTAACTCCAATGAAACATAAAGAATATATGATTTTTTAAGGTAATTAGTAAGAAAACATGCTTTCTTTTCCAACAAGTATTTTTTCAAACAATATTTTCTAAATCTTTTAAATTTAGTTATCACTCTATTCTTGCTCTCAGGGGGCCTACACAGCAGTTGTAAAGATAGGACAGTTCTCAAATTTATGTAAAACATGAATGAAAGGGAAGAAATTCGAAAGTAACCAAGTTTATCATAAAATGTCAAGATTACAGAATTGGGAATTTGAGAGCTAAATTCGTATTTTTTTTTAAAATATATTTTTGTACACTTTCTCTATAACTGTGTGATTCATGTATTCTAGAATTATGACCATAAAAGAGTAGCAAGTGAAGAATTCCAGAACATAAGAAATTAGTTACGGTATATTGATAAAATGTCAGCAATAGGTCATTTCTTAAAACACACAACATTTGATGCATTTTTAAAAACAAATGAAAAAATCAAGAAATGCCAAAATATAGAGAAAAGGGCAATTTTGTATAATAATTTGATACAATAGTGGTTCATCTTACCTCTACTACCAGTTGCTGAAGAGATGGTGATGCTACAGGATGTAGACTAGAGTTCCCCCTTAAGGGACTGTGGATGCTAATATAAGCCACAACATTTTTCTGAAGAACCTTCTTGAAATCCTGAAATCAAAAAAAGGATCTATCTGTAACACAAATAAATAGATTCTACTTTATTCGTTAGATACTGAATAATGAACAATTCATACTTAAAATTATTATACTGCATAATTACCTTCTTTTTTATTATTTATTTTTTATTTATTTATTTATTTTTCAGCCAGAGTCTGGCGCTGTCGCCCAGGCTGGAGTGCAGTGGTGCCCTCTCTGCTCACTGCAAGCTCCGCCTCCCGGGTTCATGCCATTCTCCTGGCTCAGCCTCCCGAGTAGCTGGGACTACAGGCGCCCGCCACCACGCCCAGCTAATTTTTTGTATTTTTAGTAGAGACGGGGTTTCACCGTGTTAGCCAGGATGGTCTCCATCTCATGACCTCGTGATCCGCCCGTCTCGGCCTCTCAAAGTGCTGGGATTAAAGACATGAGCCACTGCGCTTGGCCATAAGTACCTTCAAAGTGATCCTATACTATTAATAGTGTACACAAAGATTATAAAAAGGATTTTAAACAAGAATGATGAGTTAGACATAACATATAATAAAATATTTTAAAGCATGTTCCTGACAAAGTCAAATTTTAACAGAAAATGTTCTTCAAAGGTTAACGTAGTATGGATTCAACTACAGAGTATGAATGCAACTTAATTTTAGAGTCACTGAATGAGAGGAGAGGTATAGATAAACCACTCCAGTGAGGAATAAAACCAGCCCTTCTCTTTTGAAGCAATGAGCTACTCTGCACAAAATAACCCTGTATTATGAGCAAAATGGGGCATAATACAATGTAATCTTGCAAATATTACCTTAAAAAAAAAAAAACCTGATGAATTTCATGCACACAAGCAAGACTGAATGATTCCATAGAATAGTTTTCCACTTCTCTTCTGCTCCTTACCGCACAAAATTGAAGACCACTGATCCTATTAAGAATGACCACTAAGTCTTTCTGTTATTTCCCTGCTTTTTTGTGCAAGCATTTAACAAATAATCATCATGGTGGGTGGCAGTTCTACAGAAATGTCCTAAAACATTACATTATGTCATAACTTAGGAAAGTATCTTTCTTCTTCTAATACTATGAAATGAAAGACTACAAGGACTCGTACACCTGCCAAATTGATAATGTCATCCTGTTTTATTTTTTTATTGTAAATGGCTTAAAATTGTATAATTTTATGGAGTACAAAGTGATGTTATGATTTATGAATATAATATGGAATAATTAAATTAAGCTGGTTAACATATTCATCACCCCAAATAATTAACATTTTTTTGTGATGAGAACACATAAAATTTACTTGACAATTTTGAAATGTATAATACTCTATTACTAAGTATATTCACCACACCACACAATACATAATAGAAGTTGACCATTTTCTCCCCATTCCCTCCATACCCTAGGCCGAAACCACCATTCTACACTCTGTTACAGATGAGTAGATAAAGAAAATGTGTTATATATACACAATGGAATACAATTTAGCCTTGAAAAACAAGAAACTTCTCTCCTTTGTGATAACGTGGATGGAACTGGAGAATACAATGCTAACTAAAAGAAACCCGGGACGGAAACATAAATCCTGCATATTTTCACTGTTATCCATATTTTATGTTGAAAATTCATAATTTCAACATATTGAAATTATGTTGAATTTCAATTCTGTAAGAGGGTGGAAAATACAATCATTTAAAATTAATAAACATCTTAGGTGCACATAAATGATGAATTTTAAGCTTGAATAATTTCTCCATAATTATTGTTCAAGAATATGTTATTTAAGTGCTATGAAATATCAGCTTCTATTAGCACACTACCACACAGACACTGTCTATATGTTAGTCTATATAATTCTCAAGATAGGCATTAGTAGACTCATTGGAGGAATCAAGTCTTAGGGAAGTTAATCTTGCCTAAGATGATATGTTCTATGGTAAAGAGAATTTGAACTATGAATTCTTTTACTCTAATATCTATAATATTTCCACAATAGCCTCTGACAAATGAAGATTCTTCACAGAAGAAATGGTACTTTTTAAAGTATAGAACCTATTTAGCAAAATGTTATAATTTTTCTCAAAGATCAAGATCAGTATTTAATCATTTCTCTAATAATTCTGTCTATGATTCCATTTTAAGTTTATTGATCAACATCACCTAATCCTCTTAACTACAACTGTGGGTTTCCAGAGGTTTCTATGCAAGCATAATTAAATGGGGCAATGTGATATGTCAATAAGGGCTTTCCTCACTCCCCTTCATAGGGGGATATATTTAAAGCATAATTAGTTTCAATCTAACATAAACTCTTTCATTCTCAGGAGTACATTTGACATGAGTAGGCAAAACAGGACAACTAGCAATTTTCTAAATTTCTCTTCAACAGGATGTTTACAAAATGGCTTCATGAATTGCATTGAACAATCTCGTGAGACACAGTAAATTATAAAAATATATTCCATAAGCCCATAATCAAATGTGTATTATTTACCATGTTCATTACTCATATGTCTTTGCCCATCTAGTCACCTAAAATGCCAGTAAATGAATGTATAATGAGTTGCCAAATGTAAATACATATATAAACATTCAAAGACACTGGTACTTGTCTTGAATACGAACAACCTTTTTAACAAAATGTTGCTGTATTTTTAGCATAATTGACTAAGAAAATATACAATTATTAAAAGGTGCAATGACTTCACAAAAACTTAAAAATGAATGTGTATTAACCACAAAAATATCAACTTACTTTGACAAAAACTATTGCTGACACACATACAAGCCCACATTGATTCAACATACAGGTTCTGACGCCTGATGCTCAACTAAATTTTACAATAAATTTTCCCATCCATCGGGGTTTCAGATGTTTACATTAGAAACTATTAATTTAGACAAGCCTAGCCTATTCTAAAACATAGTTCAGAAATATATGTATTAATTTAGAATTAACATAAATTAATTGTGAAAGTTACTAGATAGGTATCTAGAAGACCTAAAATATAGTTTGATATAGCAAAATAAATCTTTGGAATTTGAAAAGAATCTTTAAGACATTTTAAAGATATGTGCTTTAATGTTACAGGAAAACTAAAACATTAATTGTTTCTGATTTATTAAAAATGGTATAGATTACAAACATATTCCCTAAACTGTTCTTTAACTTGTTTACCAATCTTTAAAGTAATTTGGAATATGAGTTTGAGAGGTTGGTTCATCTATTTCATTTCCAGCTTACTTACAAATGTGTCAACTTAAAAAGCTTCTTTAAGCAAAGGAATTTTTTCATTTGAAGTAGTTCTTTTGAATATGGCTCAAACATACACACCACTCATTTGCATACAGAAAAGCATTCCAATTTGCAATGTGTGAATCTGGATGAATTTTACACTGAAAAAAATTTTCTCATCTTTAAGTCTTTTCCTTCCTTCAAATTAAAAAAAGATACTTGCTATGTTCTTTTCTATACCTTTTTAAATATTTTCTTTGATTTAATAGATATGTTATCATTTTTGGGTGATTAAAAATAAAAATGTAGCAAAATAATTTCCTATTACATTTTTCTCCTCAAAGTTGAAGTAGTGAAAAAACTATAGTATTAAATTATCTTACTTTCCTAGTAAAATTATGTAGTGTTTTTTGTCTACATATGTCTATTGAACCTCTTTTTTAAAACAAATCACAAAAGTAAATAGAATTTCTATCAATCCAATTATCAGTTATCATATTCCATTAAAAATACAGTGCATTTATGAGACACAGATCTTTCAGAAGCATTTGAGACTTAAATTCTCCAATATTTCAGTTGTATTCTAACTGTACCTCATTGTATGCTAGATTTCATTTGGATACAGGTTTCCTAAAGTGGTTAGATAGGTAGGTAGGCAATAGATAGGCAGGTAAGAAACGAAAGGTAGGGAGTTAAGGGTGAAAGGGTGGAGTGGAAGAAGGAGAAAAAAGTGGATTTTGAAATGTATTTTACATTCAGGATCCATATTGTATAGATAAAATGTAATGCTAAGGTAATAAACATTTAATATAGGAGATTGTTCCCTAATTCCAGATTATTCCTAGAAAGTGTAGAAAAAGAAAGATAATATGTATCGTCTGATCCTTTTTTGTCCAATGCCTGTCATCCTGTCTTCTAAAGAGAAATACAACAACAAGGTAAACACTATTGTGTGTTAGACTGTATCGGGGTTTGTAAGTCTGGTAACAATAGGGATAAGCTATTTGAAGGTCATATGTAGTTTGCTGTGGTCTAGCTCTAATTCTGTCTTATTCTTATAAGCCATCTCAGCAAATTAGGCAATAGGACACTTTAGTTGAGAAGCACATTATTGCCCTTGGCCTTGAAAATTTTACTTTGTCTACTTTAGCAAACGAAGAAAAGAAAAGAAAAGCACTGTAATTAATGTATATTCTGCTTTACCTCTCCCCATTCATATGAGCCAATATTGCCAAAAGCTGTTCCTCCCCAAGAACAGAAAACAATAGTTCGGTCTGGTCTCCACCCTCTCTTAACTTTTGACATCAAGGCACGGATAAACGCTGTGATTATTGCAGTACTACTGGCCCATTCTTGTCCATTATAACTGTGTGCAGTGTGATGATGGCTGCCAACTATGATATACCGGTCTGAAAATAGAAAGGGACAAGAGCCATTTAAAAAAACGTAAACCTTAACAATAAGTTTAATGACATTTACATAATCCTACTGTACAACTGAGCAATAATTAAGCAAAATTGTTCTAATAATTAAGACTACTTTAATTTTTTTTGCCCACTGTCTTAATTCACTCATCTGCATATATCAAAGCTGAGGCAGCTGCTGAACCCAATTATGAATCCAAGGCTTAGATCCATATTACTCTCCTTTATAACATGAATATTAATTAATGAAGCATACAAATAGGCCACAATGAAACCCTTATCTAACATTTTTCCAGACTCAGAGTGGGAAGTGCCCTGTAAACAATGTGTGTATGCTCAGTAAATATTAATAAACTAATACATATAAGAAAGCACTTATACAGTAGCTTTAAATATTAAAAATGTAGTAGTCATGTATGGATTCTGCAATAAATTAATTCCATAGGGAATTAATTACAGCTTCCAACTTATAATTGTAGGCCTTCTCCTTCCTGTGAAGAAAAAAATAAAATAAAATTCACCAATATCAAAAGTCATTCAACTGTTATAAAAGTTGCCTTTTACATATTTTATTTCATACAATCATTTAAAATTTATTAGATACACTATTAGGAGAGCCTTCCTAACACATGGAAGTAGCCTATTCAATGTACATTACTGAATATTTTCGATAATAAGGCTGAAAATGCCGCTCGAGAGTTTCCTCTGATTTTGTTGTCAGTGGATGTTATTGGTAATAATAAAAAATCTGAATTTATCTGACCAAGTATCCTCATATATCTATGCAAAAATTTTTCTTCATTGAATATCATTTTATTACCAGATGTCCCAAAACTGGATGATAAATTGTGTAGACCCTGAATCCAGCCTGCTTGGTTTAGAATTCAGGCTTTGCAAGTTACTAGTTGTGTGACCTTGGAAAGCTTATTTCAACTTTTGATGCCTTAGTATTTTCATCTCTAAGGTAGGAAAACAAACAGAACATCCTACATTTAGTTGTTTTGAATTTTAGGAGTCATTATTTTGTAAGCCACTTTGAACAATGCTCAACACAAAGGAGGTCTTACACATGTGTGGAATAAATGAATCACCCTTTGACTTATAACACCAAAAAGCTACCTTACAATAAATGTCACGGTATGAAGATATTTTAGTTTTCCACACAGGAATTGGCAATGGATTTGATCTGCCAACATTTTATTCAGATTTAATTAATGGGACCGGGCATGGTGGCTCACGCCTGTAATCCCAGCACTTTGGGAGGCCGAGGCAGGTGGATCACGAGGTCAGGAGTTCAAGACCAGCCTGGCCAAGATGGTGAAACCTCGTTTCTACTAAAAATACGAAAATTAGCCGGGTGTGGTGGTGGGCACCTGTAATTCCAGCTATTTGGGAGGCTGAGGCAGGGAATTGTTTGAACTTTGGAGGCGGAGGATGCAGTGAGCCAAGATCATGCCACTGCACTACAGCCAGGTGACAGAGCGAGACTCGGTCTCAAAAAAAAAAAAAAAAGATTTAATTAATGGTATACATAGTGTGATAATGTGTCTACAAATGTTAAAAACCCAATAATTTATTCACTTATCTCCCATAAATGTCTCAAAGTTTTGCTTGGAATTGTCTGCATTCTAAATAAACCGTATCTAACAAACAAAGCTAATTGATGATTTTTTTCTAATCTTCAAAGTTATTAAATAAAATGTCATGTAAATAAACAGTCAATTTTTTGTAAAATTCAAATAAGCAACATTTCAGAAGCTTTGCATAATTCACTGAAGAATACTAATGTAAAATTGATTTTTTAAATTTCAGGAGTATATTTTGTAGATTGAATTTTCTTCAGTCTAAAGCTACTATAATTTGTACAACTGGGTTTTCCAATAACAACTTGTGAATGAATCAGTGATGATAAATATTCTAGTGCTTCAATAGAGAACCTTATGATGGAAATTTGTTGAAATTCAATAGTAACAATTTTCAAATTTATTTATATCTTGTATTTAAAGAACTATAATCAGAGGTTGTTCAACATTGTACCTGTAAAGAAATCAGAGAAAATAACTGGCTTTCATGAACTTTGTAAGAGTTGGCCAGCAAGAAACTGGGAGGCTATAAAACTTGATCTTAAAATTCTGAGCTAGCAACTAGGCCGCTTTTACCAAAGTCATGAAGAAGAATAATTCTCCAAGGAGAACTTGTGTAAATGTCCCCAAATCAACAGAAGTAGCAAAAGTGTAATAAAAAGATTATTAAATGCTACACTGTATAACAGGCACATTAGGCAGTAATATGGGATTCAGTCTTACAATGTGTTTGGAAGTATTGCTATTAATCTCTTAATTAGCCTACACAATATCTGAAGATTCCTTTTTTTTTTTTTTCTTTTTTTTTTTTTTGAGATGGAGTCTCTCTCTGTTGCCCAGGCTGGAGAGCAGTGGCACAATCTCCGCTAACTGCAACCTCCGCCTCCCAGGTTCAAGCGATTCTCCTGCCTCAGCCTCCTGAATAACTGCAGGTGACCATTTGCAGACATTTGACAAATTTGACAATGGACCAAGGATACAGAGTGGGATGTAGATTAAAACTGGACAACTAAATTTGGAGACCAAAACTTGTATTTATTAAAAAACACATCATTAAAAACTAAAATCTTTCTTGGCCAGGCACGCTTGGCTCACCTCTGTAATCCCAGCACTTTGGGAGGTCAAGGCGGGTGGATCACATGAGGATAGGAGTGCAAGACCAGTCTGGCCAACATGGTGAAACCCTGTCTCTACTAAAAATAAAAAATGAAAAATTAGCTGGGTGTGGTGGTGGGTGCCTGTAGTCTAAGCTACTCAAGAAGATAAGACACAAGAATCACTTGAACTCGGCAGGTGGAGGCTGCAGAGAGGGAAAAAAAAATCATTCTTTAAAATGTCTTCTTAATAAAAATAAAATTTTCAATGATGTTATGGTGAGTATAAGAAAAAAAGAAAACTTTGGCTTTTGTAGAACATGCCAGTTTACCAAATCTAAACTCTGTTTCTTGTTTCATCCCATCCTGAGACACCCCCACCTCTCTCTCTCTCTCCCCCACCCACTAAGATTTATTTTGCAAGAGATATGGTAGGAAAGAGAATGAAGACCCACTTCTTAGTCTCAAATTTATCTACTCTAAGAGTGGGACAAATTTCTAGTTACATCTACAGTAGGATATTTAAGTATGATATTAAATTATTACAGAGCATTTCCTTGTAAAGTTTCATAAAAAGTGTAGATTATAAATATTTAACCCTACTTACCTGGAGATGTCAAGCCCATTACGTATCCAACAACATTAGTAACTGTTTTCAATTTTTTCACCGTCTGAACTTGCATGCTGACGACTCTTACTTCTGAAAAAAATAAAAATTTAAAGACTTTTGTTTCTTTATATTTTATTGTATTTTTTAAACCTTAAAATTTATTTATCCAATATCATCAGCAAAAGAATTCCACAGAATTGAATGTTCTCAGATAACCAAAGTTATACTTTTTCTGACAAATATTTATTCAATACTTTGTACAGATTCTATTTTAGGTGCTTGTTATGCAATGATGACTAAGATACAATTGCTAGCATCTTTGAACCTCAGAGCCATAAACAGGCACTTCTAAACCTTACATTCAGTTCTACAATGAGGGTTCATTATGAGAGCATTCAGAAGACCTTCAGGAGATGTGGGCAACTCATATTTTTAAAAAGGGAAAAAAATAGATTAAAATATTTCCAAAGAATATTGAATACTTTTCTATTTTCAGATAAAGAACATGTGGACAATAACCTTTCCAGTATGACTCACTATTTTTTTAACGCTTTAAAAATGGTAAATAAAGCATTACACAACATAAAAAGATAAAGATTCTTAAAGCTGTACATGTTTTCATATATTAGAGTTTTTAGTTCTATCTGGGTTTGTAGGTTCCTTACCTCTATTCTAAATCCGTACTAATCGCTCTACCTCTTTGAATTTTTCTGTTTATGTTTGATATTCAAAAATTTTGCAAATAAGGCAAAGACACAAATCAGGAGGGACTCTAGTCACAGAACTGACATAGTCTCTGGAGATGAAATGTGTTAATCCTGTATTTGAAGGATCCTGAGAAGTCTGGGTTGGGAAGTGGCTCACAGGATCTTTAAAGTTTTCCTTAAAGCAGAGGTTTCAGAGTAGCTAGGTGTTAGTGTCAGGGCAGAGCATGGCAAATTTGAAAGCAGGTAATGCAAAGTAGCCACATTATACTGGCAGACCCACAGACATTCACTTCTTACTGCTAGATAGAAATTGTTATAATAAATACATTACTTCTTTCCCTCAATGTACCCTTTCAAACGAATTAAATGGAAAATCAGTACACTGAATTCGTTAAAATAATAACCAAAACAAAAGTAAAGAGGCCTTTAGAGAATACCTGAGTGCCTTATCTATCTGTGAGTAAATCTATGTAGAGCCTGAGCATTGTGCTTTTAATTTAGGTACTATGCATTTTTGTTTGTTTTTCAATTAATAGACTTTGTTTTTTAGAGCATTTTAGGTTTACAAAAGTACTGAGCAGAAAGTACACAGTTCCCAAATACCCTCTGTCTCCCAAGCCTCCTATTACTGTGGAACATTTGTTACACCTGATAGATTGTGGAACATTTGTTACACCTGCATTACTGTGGAACATTTGTTACACCTGATAGACCAATAATGACACATAAAATCCATAGTTTACACTGGGGTTCACTCTTTGTGTTGTATATTTGATGGGCTTTGACAATGCATAATGAGGTATATCCATCATGATAGTATCATATAGGATGGTTTCACTATTCTAAAATCCCCTATGTGCCACCTCTTCATCCCTCCTTCCCTCCCTCTCTCCGCAAAAACCCCTGGCAGCAACCACTGATCTTTTTACTGTCTCATAGTTCTGCCTTTTCAAGATTGTCATAGCACTGGGCTCGTATGTTTGTTTGTTTTGACTGTTTGTCTAATTCCCTGCTCAAGGTTTGTTCCAGATGATCCACATAAGTGAACTTTATAGACTCTTTACCTTATACCTTTCAATGATCTTTCCTGCTTATTTTAGATATAGATATAGATGAAGAATCTTTTCTGGTTTTCTAAAATTCAATATATTTTTGTCTAAGTTAGCTGTGAGCAAGCCTCACAATATGTATACTGTACTCCTTGCAATATTACCTTGCATTAATATAGTGCTTAAAATTTAAAATAACCATTTTCACACACATGTACTAATTCTTACTGGAACACATTCTTACTTGAAGTAGCTAGAGTGGTCATTGCCCAATTCCCAACAGTTGTTGGGGTGTCCTGTTTAGAAGGGGAATTAAGAAGTGAAACCACCTGGACTTCCTGGGTTGAGTGGGGACTTGGAGAACTTTTCTCTCTAGCTAGAGGATTGTAAACACACCAATCAGCACTCTGTAAAAACGCACCAAACAGCACTCTGTGTCTAGCTAAAGGATTGTAAGTACACCAATCAGCACTCTGTAAAAATGCACCAATCAGCACTCTGTGTCTAGCTAAAGGATTGTAAATGCCCTAATCAGCACTCTGTAAAAACACGCCAATCAGCTCTCTGTGTCTAGCTAAAGGATTGTAAATGCACCAATGAGCACCAAGAACAAAGCTTCCACAGTGTGGAAGGGGACCTGAGCAGGTTGCTGCTGCTGGCGGGGTGGCCAGCTTTTATTCCCTCATCTGTCCCCACCCCCATCCTGCTGATCGGTCCATTTTGTAGAGTGCTGATTGGTCCATTTTACAGAGTGCTGATTGGTCCATTTTGCAGAGTGCTGATTGGTGCATTTACAATTCTTTAGCTAGATACAGAGCGCTGATTGGTGCATTTTTACAGAGTGATGATTGGTGCATTTACAATCCTTATATTATTTCATACTCACATCTGAAAATAAATATGCATAGAGTCTGTTTTTCTTCACTAGAGTCAGCACCATAATCACATTTTAAATTTTAATAATAAATATCAGAAAGATCTTGAATAAACTTGCTGTAAAGACACATCTGCTGCTGTTGGCATTGCTAATTTGAACAATCCATTGGTAAGGCAATATTACTCTCATACAAAACAATCCTTACTTGTATCCAAGATAATCAATCCTGCAGTATAATAGCAATAATAGAAAACAACATAAACATCTGAAACAGGGAAATGACTTAGAAAATTGTGATAAAATGTGTGGCTGTTAAATATAAAAAGAATATATAGAAACATGAATATGCTATAAGTGAAAAGAAAAGAATACAGAGGGATATACAGAATGATTGAACTTAGGTAAAAACATGTATGATTATGAACAAACTATGAAAAAGGAGGGATTAAATAGTGGAACAGAAATTGGGTTTAGCAGGCCTTCCCAAATCTGCTGGAGTGAGGCACTGTTGTAAAAAGGTTTGAACAAACCTACACTCTGGGGTAGTTCTTCTCCAAATCCCCAGGGATGGTGGAATTAAAACCTAGAGAGATTGTCTCCTCCTAGTGTAGCACCTGACAACATTGAACCCTTTTTCACCGTAGAAACATTTAGAATTTTCCTCTTTATTTTTGTGCTTTTTGAATTTAATTATAAAATATATAGGTGTGTTTTTTCCTTTTTTTCTGGAAAATTTATTATTACTTTTTTGACCATTTTCTCTCTCCCATTTTTTCCTTCTTCTAATATTGTTTCTACAACTCCATTTTAATCCACTGTATCTTTTAGTTGTACTTTTGTATTTATTTATCCTAGATCCAGCCTGTCTGGATCTAGAAGGTCAATCTGATCTTCTAGCTCTTGAATTTATTCTTCAGTGACATCTATCTATGACTGTATCTATCTACCTACCCTAACTATTACTGTATTTCTTTCAATTATCTTATTTTCTGCACCTATTATTTCCTCTCATTTTTAAAAATGTTTTCTGATTTTTGTTTTATATTGCTAATATATTTTATTCTCTTTTTGAGTTTAACTTTAATCCTTATTTTAAATTCTTATACCATGTGTTCCAATATGGTAACTTTGGGTGGTATATGTATTTGTTGTGCTAATTTTCTTTGATGGTGGTTGTGGACCTCAGGATCTAGCTATTTTGGCCTGTGGTCCAGCATGATATATCAGGATCCAAGGATGGTGGGGATAGTGTCTAAGTGTGTGTGTGTGTGTGTATGTGTGTGTCTGCATGTGTACCTGTTTGTGAGAAGGCCTGAATATGAGGAGGAAAGCAACTGCCAGGGGAAATAGTGCAATGAGATAAGTGATTGAAGCAAAGTGAGAAGGCCATCTGAATTTAAGAGCTGAATAGCATGTAGTGTTAGATCCTGGGTGGAGTGAGGAAGTTAACCAGACTGTGGTAGGGGCAGACAGAACATTTGATATAGAGTGAATAGCCTGTATGTAACAGTGCCTAGGGTTGGATCCATTGTGAAGGGAGTAATGGCATCAATTGATTACATGCAGGGGATCTAATTACCTAAGTAAATATATTCCATTTAATGAGAAGGTGATTTCTAACTGCTAGAGAAAAGACTTACAAACATGGAAAGATAAATAAAACTCGGTGTTGATATGTTTTCATGGTTTTATATGTATATATATATAATTTGTTTTAATTATATTTATATTTAAATTATAAAATTTAATATATTTTAATTATATATTATATACAAAACCATGAGGACATATGAGTTTATATTAATTTATATATTTATATATATAAAACCATAAGAACATATCTATATAAGTTGTTGATTGTATATATATCTATATATATCCAAGAGAACATACATATATATAAAACTGTGTGTATGTGTGTGTATAACACCCACACACATAGATTTAAAAGTAAATACAGATATGTCTGAGTGTATAGATATATTTTTATATATTTACATAAAATATAATATTAAAATATAATTATATTTTCCTAGTTTTGTTCACTGAGTAGTATGGAGAGAAGCAACACTTCAATAGCAATAGATGAATCTAGATCTATTTTTCTAGACTATTCTCCACTTAAAGGACCTAGTGTCTTTGGAGAAATGGCTGATAACAGAGCTGGCACAGGAAAAGTACAAGACGGTTTAGTATGTCTTATAGTGCCAAAAACTAAGTAAATACATGAAGAATAATGAGTACATGTCAAAGGACACAGAATCCATCTGAAGTTGCTATTACTGGCTAACATTTGACAATCTGAGCATCAAGATATAAATAGCACTGGTATATAACCTATTGAATCTATTATGAATATAAATCCTAATCAAGTAATGACTCAATGCTGGCATGTGTAAATTTAAAAAGTCATATCAAGAAATGAATAGAAAAAAGAAAAATCTCTTCTTTACAGTG